GTATCGGGCATCATCGTGAAATTCCACAGCTGAGCTCTCTAAACATCAAACTGTCAAGGTTGGAAAGTCAGACAGAAAGGACTGGAGGACATCTCAAGTGACTGTCAAAAGTTCGCCTCCCTGCACTGAGGCAGGATCAAAGATATCCAGACCGATAGATGTTGCCTACTCTACTCCTTAAAGGCTGCTGAGGAAAGAGATTCCTCAGCATCTCGAGGTTATACAGTCCAAGCTTTTAGCACCATATGCAGTGTTTCACACTTTCCAAGATATCTGGAAGAACTGGAGATCTGAATCACCACTTCAGAGCACAGCAGTTTAGCTGCCAGAATTCTTCATGCCCCAGTGCACGTGTCAGGGGAGTGACTGCCTCAAAGCACTAATTCAGTTCCCCCCCCTGCAGCCCAGCTCAGACAGCTTCAACCACCCTCCCTAAAGAAAAGCCTCCTGCAGAGGCTCAGCCTCCATCACCTCATCCTACTGAAAAAACACATACTGAGCCAAAAAGAATCCCAGTGCAAGGTCCAGCCTCACGTGCCTGGGCCGTAGACCCTGGCAATGGCAAGGCTTGTTTGCCACGTAGCTGAGGCATGAAGCAACCTCTAATTTTACGCATTTTCATTCCAAAAGGCAGACTCCATGGTTACATTTCTTTATCCATACAGATGTGGTGCTGATACAGCTGTGATACGTGAAACTTTCTGCATGGGGCAACACAACTGTGACAAAACAGAGCTTGTATGACAATGTAGAGTTGAAAAACGAAAGTAATAAAGAAAGATTTGGGGCTTTGAAGTTAAAAAATAAAAAAATAAAAAAGAGTGCAACTGATAGTCCACCCTAGTCTACCCCGATCACTGGGAATACAGTATTGGCTACATTATAATAAGGCCTTGCCCAAGTTCTCTTTAAATACTGCTGCTGAAAGCACTCACACTTAATACTGTTGTCCCAATAGCTATTTTGTCAGACAGTGCGATCGTTCCCCACCATGGAGAAAATGCAATCGCCTCATTATTTTCAGCAAGAGTCAGCTGACAATGCTTATTTTCTCAATAAATTATTTCTCAAAACTTAGTAACACTTTAAGCTACTATAAACACATCTCGAAAGCGTACCAGGATTTTAATCAGTTTCAAACATCAGATGTTGGGTTTGATATTTACGATTGTTCTGACTCTGTTTCTTTTAATGGCTCCTTTTGTCTATGAAAGCAAAGATAAGAAAGTCATCTAGGACACCCGCTGTAAAGTCTCTAATTTAAGAGGAAACTTCCTCTGTCACTGGCTGTCGGATGCTAATAGCTGCTGTTACTATTTTCCATATGATACCGGGCAAGTGGTCTTAGAGAAGTATCCTTCATCCTATACAAAGTGGTCATCGAGTGAGCTAACTGAACAACTGTGCCCCTGCAGTTTCTAAAGGGGACATTCTTCTAAGTCCACTTTAATCTACAGGGAAAAAAAAGTAATATATATCTCAAATAACTATAGTAAGAACTCAGCGTGGTATTATGAGGAGGTGACTGGGAATTATTTCTTTTTAAAGCCTCTTTTATAAGGATTCCCCATCAGCCTTTAATTAGCATGCCAGTTCCTATTCTGAGGCTCCTGATCACTTACAGCCCTGTTCAACATCCACCCAAGGCAACAAGACAGACTCCCTTGAACTCGGTGGGGTCAAGAGGAGGGCTTAGGGCCATGCAGGGAACTCTCTAGTACCAACACGAAGTTAATTGAGCAGGCCTTTGATGCCCAGCTCTGCATGTCAGCCCTTGGAAGAGTTTTCCTATGGAAGATCAGAAGAAAATCTGGACTTCCAGATTTGGGGCTATGTAAATGTATCATCTGTACTCAGCAGGTAGAGCACTAATTTGTCTTTTGCTGTAGAGGAAAGTGAGATGATCTATCAACCTATTCAGTTTGACTATTTACGTGTATTTTAAATCTTTGCTTACATAAAACTACAATAAAGTGTTTTAGAACAGAGCATCTGCCAACATACATACAGTATTCTGCTAAAGGCAGATATATACCGTAAGGTATATGTAAGATCATTAGTTAGCTATGACAGGCTATTTACTGTGATTTATCTTTCAGGATCACCTCATTCACAAGGAAAATTGAGTGTCAGCCCCATCCATAACCTATACATACCATCTAGATACTTGAAAATGGTAATAGGTTAAAGGATGCAGTAGACAACTCTCCAACACAATCCAAAATATTTAACCCAAAACTTTTTGGAATAGAACCTGAAAACATCAGTAGCCCAGCCAGAACTCCTACTAACACGAATTGCCAGGAGCTAACGAACATAGAAAAATCTTTACCTCACACATAATTTTACTGTTGCTGGGAGAGCACTGCTCAGTCATTTCGGTACAGATCCAAGAAATTTGTTTCTTATAGTTTTGTCTCCGTTTCAGCCAGACACAAATAAAGGCTAAATTAAGAGCTGTGGTTCAAATCGATTCAATGGAACGCAAGAACAAAGGTCAAAACTTAGATCTCTGCCCTGCAGGTGCACATCCTGAATGCACAGCTAAATAGGGCCATCCACCTTCTGGGGATGACTGCCAACAACATGGGGAGCGAAACATTTGGGGTCTGATCCACGTACCACCTTACGTACCACCTCCTCCATTAGCAAACCCTACCCAGCCAGAATGACATGCCTTGGACTTTGCTATAGCGGCAGGCCAACAGTAGATCAGTCTCCAGTGACTCCACTAGAAATTAAACCATACTGAAATACAACGCAGCCACTTCCTCCACTTACAACAAAGGATGACTGATCAATCCAACAGGAGCTACCAAATTCATACAAAATATTTCAAACAGCTATTCCTCCTTACTCTCCCACCTCCAACTCTCCAAAAAAACCCCAGGAGCTACCAAATTCATACAAAATATTTCAAACAGCTATTCCTCCTTACTCTCCCACCTCCAACTCTCCTTAAAAAAACCCAACCAACCAAACAAAAAAACCCCCCAGAGGTCGCAGGCCCCTGGGTTACTGAACCTTTAAAAGAATTTCCTGTACCCTGTAAAACAGGTGGAAAGCTCTAAAGCACAGCCTGGTGATTTAGTCTACGCATGCCAGATTCAAGATTTGGCCAAAAACCTTAAGTGAACCAACATAAGAGCTGCCACAAAAGCCGACAACCTCTAATCAATACCTTCCATGTTTAAGACAGAACAAACCACCTCTCTGCAAAACATTCTTATGCCCGCAAAGAGTAAATAAATTACAACAAATTTAAGAAGCTTGAGTTTTGCTTAGCTTAAGAACCCCAGGCAGAGCCCCTAATTTTTCAACAGCAGCACATGCTTAACACAGAGCAGCAGTGATGAAAGCAGTTGAGACACCTGTGAGAGATCACAAAACACACTTAAAAAAAATAAGATATTCACCAAGGCTGCAGATACATGTGTGTTGCAAGAACTAACGAAGCTTAAAAATCATTGAAAATGTTAATACAATGAGCACGAAAATATTGAATGTGTTAAAGTATTTTTGCATGACTTCATCCTAGATCTTTTTATTCCCTAATTTGACTCTGCTTTTTAGCCTAGATTATAAAGAAGATTTAAAACAGGGAGCTTTTTTCCTTTCCAATGAAGGCTTCCCATTAATAAAAAGGAAACAAAGAAAATGAAGAAAGTGAGTAGTAAAACTTTTACAACATAATAAAATATATCAGAATCCCAGTGCAGCAGGATTGGAATTGTCTAAAGATGCTGAATTATGATCGGTTGTCATATAAAGTTCAGTCCAGAGTATTAGCAATCATATTTTCTAGCAACATGTATATAATTGGGAGATCTTCATAATAACCCTCAGTTTTAAAGGCTCATAAAAACTGTGTTTTACTCATAATTTGCAGGAGGAAAGAAGAATTCTTAAAGGAAAGTAACATCTTTTTCTCAGTAAGAAAGACTTTGAAGGCAATACACTGTATTTTAAAGCAAGCAACTCTAAAAGCTCACTTTTTCTTTCACAGTTTTCAGTGGGGTATTATACAAACACTCAGTTTAAAAAGATAAATACATATCTACAGTACACACACTAGGAAGAAAATTAGTATCACATAGAGAGGAACCCTCTGAAAGTATATTGGAAGCAAAGCATGTTACGTTATTTTTGAGTACAAGTACAGAGGTACTTTAAGGTAAATATCTTGATGTAACATTGTAACCAACAGTAAAACAAGCTATGGCACTCACACACACAAAAAAGAAAGGATGTTGGTTTTATGAAAAGTGTGTAAACTACATTTATCCGCCTCCAAAATACAGCATGAAAATAATTATAAAAATATTATCAGCACTTGACACTCTCAGTAGACTCCCAAATATCTACATTTTCTCAATTTCTCCCCTGACATTCTAAAACAAAATCCTTTCAGTTTGTTAGAGAGTCAACTACCAAGTGCCATAAACTTCCAATTATCCCTGCCACTTTTGGACTTGCCAAGGCAAAGCTGAAGTAATGAACAGGATGCTGAAGTTTCTATATGAAATAGCAAAATACAACCTGTCATCAAACCCAGATATTTTAACTTTACACTTTTGCCAGAGTAAAGCCTTTTTTGTAAATAAAATGTGTTTGTTTTCAAATAAAGCTACTTCAAGCTGTTTTGGGAAGCACAGTAAGTAATAACAACAATAACAACAATTTCCATTTGGATTTCAAAACCTGATGAAACAAAACCAGCACATGTCAAGCCTAGTGTTTTCCTACCTGGAACAGGTAAGGACCAGCTCTCAAATGCCACCTTGGGATAGTTCAGACTAGTAATCCCGTTCATGTTTAGATGAGACACGAGCATGAACAAGAAAGAAAAGGAAAAAAAAAAAAATCTACCCTGTCTTTCTCTTCTTTTACTAGCAATGCCTACAGCAGTGGTTAAGACCCAGTAAGCAAGCCGAGGACCCAGAGGACCAGACTAACCCAAACCCGCTGCTAGAGAGGAACAGGTTTAAGAAGAGACTTACTGCTTGCCATGTGACTGGGGGAGGTATGCTGCCCATTGGGTGTGCTGGAGGTGAGGTCAATGGCCATGCCGGAGTGCTCCCTTTCGGGCGAAAGCTCATTGTCACCTGCTTTCACAAAACAAGTCCCCCATAAGTTTCCAGCCCCTTCTTCAGCATAGCAACACAACAATTAAAAAGTATGACTCGCTCGCTCCCTTCGCCTTTCCCTCCCTTACCAGCGGGGTCTTCCACAGCCTGTAAAAACCGGACTCTCAGAGGCCACAAGTAAACATTTGACTGACTGATTTTAAGAGCCCCCCCAAACCTACTGTCACCAGCCTTCTACGCACACACCTGTGACAAACCTTGCCCCAGCTGCTTTGTCTCAAGAGAAGTTAGGATTACTTTTCTACCTGCAGACACTGAGAATTGGGGCTGGGCAGAAGACTGAAGTAGCACTTTAACATATAGACCTTCCCCCCCTAAAGCTCTCGGTTAACTGACAGTTAAACAAAGCACTTAAACTAAGACATTTTGCCCTGACACAGAAAACAGGAGAAATGCATAGTGAAAGGCATAAAAAGTTTTTGGTTGCAATTTGAATTTCTGAAGATTAACACTCTCTCATTTGCAAAGTTCATTCATCCTTACTAAATATTTAAACCTGGAGCTACTCACCCATGCACCCCTCCCCATGCATTTTTCAGTCATACAAAAAGTTTATGTTTAAATGCTATTAATTCAGTGTCATCTCAATGCAAAGACCATACACAAAGAAGCTAAAGTTTCAGATGTCTGCATTATAGAAAGAATAGTGGGAAAAGGAAAGTAATTCAGAATAATCAAATGAAATGACTACTTACATGTTATATATCCATCAGCAGCCTCTGCTTCCATAGTCAAAGTGCAGTGCTGCAAGGCAGAAAAGTACACCCTCAAAGATGCCTGTCAGTATCAACCATTAAATGATTAAACTTACTTAAAGCCCTAAGTAGTTGCCCATTTTACTGCTGTTGCAACCATTGCCTAGAGAAGCACACAAGTGTACTGCATGTGCTCATTTGCAAATCACCGAACTCTTCCTGCACATTATCTGAGTAGAGAAATTCAGCTGCTCCCTGGGCAGGTGACACTGGGATCATCTTGGTCTGACCATACCCCTCTCTGTCCCCCACGTGCATTTTTACCTGATCTGAGAGTTTTTTCCCTGACTTTCCACTTGTTTTGTTCAAGCTGGGATGGTAATGCTTTATCAATTATCAGCTCTCGCAGCCAGAACAGACTTTGAGGAGATGGATACAATTAACAATTGCTCTTTTCACACGCACTCCAAGAGACTCCATCCTGATCTAAACGAAATAAAGCCCTCCCGTGTCTGTTCCCCTTCAAAAGAGTTATTACAGCTCTTTGTCGCACACCACCGAACACACACACACCTGTACACGCACCTGTTCACTCTAACCCTATTTATCTGCCACAGCATGGGGCCAAACATCACACTTAATACTCCCAGATCATGCATTTTGTGGCGTGAAGCAATCTTAAAGTTTCTGGAAGCACTTTGCTGACACAGAACAAGCTATTACTTTCCAGAAACCCAAGTAACTGTATAGAATGACACCCCCTAGCTATCATTTGATATAAATTGGGGGGGGGGGGGGGAAGAGAGAGAGAGATATATCAATAATCATAACTATGTTCTTTTAAGTGGAAAAGTTAAGAATCTGACATGACCAGAGGAGAATTTTATTTCCTCTCTCCCTCCACGGCCTCTTTTTTGCCTTTAGTTTCAAAACTCTCACTGCACCAGGCAGCTAAATTATTCACAATGAGCCATTTCTGTATTGATCGCCAAGTATATTTAGCCCTGGCTCCTGGAATTTCTCCATTACTTACTGGAAAACAGGCAGCTTCACTTCTTGTCTCCAAAACCACTTCCCTCCCCCTCCCTTCACCTGCTTTCCTCCCCCCCCTCCGCCTTTCCCCCAATAAATAAATACTTTTCTCTGTGTTCTTCTTTGGTATAAAGCAGATCAAATTCCCAAGGCATTCAGCACATAACACTTAAATTTCAACCTGCCCAGCTGCTACCAAACTCTCTTCAATTACTGATTTTTCACAGGACTCTTAAAAAGAAATCTCCAAAAAAAAGTTTCCAAAACACATAAGCTGCTTCCTCAAGCCCTTCAAAATTACCTTATCTTCCCCCTAGTCCAGGTAGGCAGGCACACACTGAGAAAAAGAAAGAAACATCAGAAGCAACAGGGAAAGATCATCCCAGCCAATGAAGTGGAAGGAAAGAAAGGGGAGGAAGGGAGGAGGAAGAGAAAGACAAAAAGAAACACAGAAACATCCATAACCGAAATTAAAACACGCTTTGATTTTTATTTTTTATTTCTTCAAGGGAGGGGAGGAGGAGAAAGAGGAGGGGGGGAAGAAAAAAGTTTGGTCACCATTTTTAGGCTGGTGATGGCAAATCGCAGCTGCTAAGCCTCCCTCTCCACAGCGAATGGAGAGAGTTTTGCTTGGGCTGAAGACACAGCAAGATGGGAAAAGTTTAAAAAATATTTTTTAAAAGAAAGGGAGAGAGAGAGAAAGGGGGGGAGGGGGAGAGGGGAGAGAAATCCGCCCCCCCCCCCCCCCCTTCCCGGCGGGGGAT